TTATTACAACCACCATATTCAGGAGGGCCCCTGTGGGCCCAGAAGGATCAGGACAGACACAGCGGAAGGAAGAGGGGAGGGAGCACCCCACCATCCCACTCCCGACTCCGGAGCTCTTACAGCTCTGTGCTCTGAGTGTGTCCTCTCATCCCCAGCTCAGCCGGCCATTCTCCTTCCCCTCCCATTCCAGAGGCCACCCTCCCCATGTCTCCCTGATGTGGCCACTGCAGAGGCGCACATCTTCATGCACACAGCCAGCTGTCTCTGGCTGCACATGGTTGGTCTCAGCCCAGCCCATATACCCTCTCGGCAGGGCTCGGTCAGGACACTCGCGTGGTGCCCACTGAAGAAAGTCCCAGGGACAGCAGGGATTGGGAGCAGCTGTCCGAGGAAGCACTAACAAGGCTTCAGACTAGGATGCTGTGAGCCCAGGGAGCAGGGATGGCTTGTGGACGGAAGGAGGATGGTGTCAAAGAATGAGCCAAAGCTGTGGTGCCAGCTGAGCCTGGGGTCTTTGAGGAGCTGGGTGGAGGGGGATAATACCTGTGAACCAGTGTCTCTCAGAAATCCCATGAAATGTGGGGATGGGGGACACATGAACGGGAGGCCAAGCTCCAGCTCTCAGCCCCAGTGTGTGTGCATGTGGGCAGCACTGGGTAAGAGGAAGGGCAGTGGGCCAGTAGAGGATTTGGGTGATCTGTGTTTGGTGGTTCGGTGAGTAGAAGATGCAGCTGAGACTCTGTGGCTGTGCTGCTTGCCCCTGGAGCTGGAACCATGAGGCTCTAGAGCTAGGAGGTACCTCTAGAGGATAGGGTCTGGCCCGGGGACTAGAGTTGAAAGGCTCTAGTGTCTCGGTGGGCATTGGCCAAAATACTGCGGCTTAAGGATTCATAGGCTCTGCAGTCAGACTCCCTTAATTTCTCTGTGCCTCAGTTTCTTCATATGTAAAATGGAGTTAATCATAGACTTCATGGGGTCATTTAGGGGATTCCCTGAGACTCTCCTCAGTCCAGGAGGGCAGCAGCAACTTTGCCTGATCCATCTCCCCCTCCATAAGCCTGACCTGAAGTTTTCAAGGGAAAAATTGAGGTGCTGGCCCCCAGAGGGAATTCACTCAACCCTCACTCTGGCCCACACGGCCTCTGCCTCTCCCTCCTGCCCACCTTGAGCCCAAGGATCCTGCTCTGCTTGGCCTGCTCCTCTTTCATTCAGCGTCTCTCTCTCTCTCTCTCTTATGGCTCCTTCCTGTAGACATTAAACATGGCATCTGATGTGGCACTATCCTATCCCTCTCCCTCCATACACACACCACTGCTCAGGCCATGGTTGTTTGGACTTGCTGTCTCCACAGTGGCCAGGCCAGGCTGGGTTGTCCTGGGATCAGAGAGGAATGGATGGGAGAGGAGACCAGGCTGAGACCCCAGTGGTACTTGGGGCCCAGGGTGACTGGCTCTGGGGGCAAAGTCCCCCGGATCAAGGAAGCTCTGGAGGGCCTGGTTCCATGAGCCAGGCACACTCTGGCCCTATAAGGGGCCTGGATGCTCCCCATGCTCCCAGCTTACCCTATAGTCTTAGCTCTTCATTCCCTTGCCCCCAATGTCATCTGCCTGCTGTCCTTTTCCCTACATTTCTCTGCAAGATGGGCCCCTAGTCCTTTCTCAAGCTCCCTATGCATCACTGTCTGTGGGAAGCCCCTTTAACAAGACCCGTACCTGTTCATCCATCATTGTCCGTAATAACCCCCATGGCCCTGTGCCGGGACATGGCCAAGAGACTCCCAGGGGCCTAGCTCAGTATCTCCCCAACACCTGGCCCCAGCCTAGAAAGCTTGGAAAGTCCCCCAGGTATTTACTGAGCTGAGTCAAATGCAGTTTCCAGGGCAGGGTGGAAAGAGCAGAGTCCATCCTGGAGCAGGAGGATTCTCTATGGAATGAGGCGCTGATTTCTCTCTGAGGGAGCCTCTCCTTACAGGCTTGCCTTCCTAGCAATTTCTCTCTGCTTGATTTTTCTGTATTTCCAAGTTTATCAGTAAAGAGCATATATGCTCTCTTATATTTCCCCTCTGATGAATAGCTATAATATTTCTTAAAGTAAAAAATAAAATTCCTGGTTGAGGTCATCTACTTTGCTGTAGAAAAGGCATCTTGGATTTGTGAAGGTGGGAACTTTGACTTTCAGAGGGCCTTCCTGGGACTTACAATGGGGCTTTGCTGCCCACTGGTGGTGAATGGATTTATAGATCTGGCACTAAGGACAGTCCAGGCAGCTCAGAGAGAAGTGCAAATGACTGACCTACAGGGGAGATCTGAGCACCCTGGGACCTCCCATTAGGCCAGGGAGTCCTCACCTCTCCCTGCAGGTGGCTGAGTATGGTATAGAAAGGCCCTAACCTGACTGGGAACTGACCACCACTTGGTTCCAGGCCCCAGTCCAGGGCTGTGCTGTCCCCAAGCAAGATCTGAGGTTCAAGATCAAGTGTAAGATTCAGTGGGTCAGGCCCATGTTCATCCCAGTCCAACCTGGAGCAGGCTGGATGGTTCTGTAAGAAGGGGAGACCCCAGAGTATCTGAGAAGGCTCACCTCCTCTTGAGCATGTCACGGTCACTTGTCTCCCCCTGCTTTCTGCGCGTGTCTTTGCTGACCTCCCCCACCCCCAACACACACACACTCAGATCTTCCTGCACCAGGTCTTTGTCTTACCTGACCACTCACTCCCGCCTCCCATAGTCATTAGTCACTAGCATAGGGCCTGGGCCTGAAGAGGGAAAGGGTAGAGGCTGAAGGAGCGTTGTGTGCTCCCCAACCAGCATTTGCTGCTATTACAGTTTTTCTTCTCTTCCGTGAATGCTTTCATTTCATTTTAGTCTCTAGATCTTTGCACTATTCTCTCTGTCTAGAGCTCTTTCCTCCCGTGTTATCACACAGCGGTTACTTTCTCCTCATTCAGGTTGCAACCTATGTGTGACTTGCTCAAACAGGCCTTTCCAGACCACTCAATGTAAAGCAACCTCCCCAGACCCCCTCCATCTGGTTAGTTCACTGTCATAGCTCCAAGTGTCCAGAACAAGCCCTGACACATAGGTGCCCAGCCAGAGTTTGCTGAATGGATGAATTCCAAGGCACTGAAGGAGTGTTGCCCCATCCAGACTGGAGTGAGAATAGTGTGGCTCCAGGACAAAAGGAGGTTCCAGAAGGGGCCTTGAATGGAGACTGCCAGGTAAGAACAAAATGGCAGCCTGCCAGCTACCTTCCTACACCTCAGGTGAGGGGAGCTCCAGCAACTGGTAAAATTAACAGATCCCCAGTGGAAGGAGTCCACGTTGTAGCATTTCCTGATGTCCATAGTGTAAATACGTCACTGTGCCCAATTTCCAGCTACAGATGGTTTGATAACTGGCTGGCAACTTTTTATAAGATGGAACAATTGGCTCTGTGAGCCAGTATGAGCTGGTTCCATCCACCACTGGCTCTGGCCTGCTGAGGATGAAGACAAGGTGTGGGACAAGCATGGCAGAACAGACCACGGGGTCCATCTCCTTTCCACCAGGACAGAGGATGGCAGGGCTGGCAGAGGTGGAAGGCTGCTGACCCACTCTCTAGAGAGTGAAGTGGAGGTGACAGGCAGGGACTCATCCTGGGCACATAGGAGTGGGACACAAATGCTTGCCTCAGCCAGGATGAAATTAGGACCAGCCACCAGGTGTGGGTGTGAGAGCGAGTGGAGCAGGGGAGCAGGAGAAGCGGGAAAGCCCGCTAGGAATCTGGACTCTTCAGTGCACACTCTCAGATCCTCCCCCAGGATCCTGGAGCATTCTCATGCAGTGGCCCAGCTCCCCCTAGTGGCTCTACCAGAAACTGCAGCAGCTTCTCCAGCTCCTCCCACGACAGAGTGCAACACAGAATCTTCCCTGAGCACCCGCAGTGCGGGTCTGTGAGCCAGACTGGAGAGAGGGGGAAGAAGTGAGCAGAAAATTATTTTTGTGAGAACACAAAATTGTATTAGGAGGAGGAACGTGGGGAAATATATTTCTGAGGTAGTAGCAGATCACTTTAACCTCCTGCTCTCCCATTCAGGCAGCTGGGCTGTTCCATACCCATCACATAAGGGGAGGGGTGGATCAAGGCAGGAAACAGAAAAGAAGAAGGCCAGGCCACCAGCATCTGACCTTGGAATCCAAAGCCTTTATGGGACTTGTGAGGAGTCAGAGGGGATGACATTGCTCCTTAGTGTGGTGACAGAGGAAGGCTTACTCTCCCCTTTCTCCCCCACAGTCCCAGACTAGAGGAGATACAGGATGCCCAGGAGCCAGAGAGGGAGGCACTTAGGGCCAAAGGGTCCCTGGGACGTCAAGGGTCAGGTGCACAATGAAACTACACTTGTTCATCTCCCAGCCTCCGCCATCCACATCAGTCTTTGCTGCCCTGGGCTACATGGCTGTCCTTCCAGTGGGTCCCTGTGTGCCTATTTCAGACAAGAGCTCTGGGATAACGTGTACAGCAGAGGTAAGCAGCATTTGAGTTGGTCTCTGAAGTAGAAACTCACCATTTGGAGTCAGGATCAGGGCATTTGGGACTGAGGTGTCAGTGTGGGTAGAAGTTTAGAGGTATAAAAAAAGGTGTGTGGTTCATCCCGGAAGCCACAATGCTGCTGTTGGCTGGCACATCAAGGAGGTTGGTAGTTGTAGGCATAAGGGAATAGAAACAACAGGTGGAGGCAGGTCTCTTTTGCTATCCTAAGGATAAGAACAAAGTCCAGAAGCCCCTGAGGACTGGGAAATTAAGTATCAGACCAACCTGGTCAGATTCGGATTTTCTAAAACTCAATCTGGCTCCCTGGTAGACCACAGATTGCCAGGGTGTGGATTCCGGGGCCCATCTGGTGGCAGGGAAACCTGCTGGGGGTGAGAGGTGGAGGGCTGCTCAATCGTCAGGCAAGAGATTTACTAAGACCTGAGTCAAATCGAGACACTGGCAACAAAGCAGTTGTTCAGAGGGTGTGGTTTATTTTCTCAGATGTGTAGAAATCAGTTTAAAATCTTAGGTACAAATGAACAAGCCCCAAGTCCCCCCTCTTGAGTCTTGTTTAGGAGGAGCAGGACGTAGGCTCCTTTGCTAAAATAAATACATTTCATGTTACATAAGGTTATAAATAAAAACATACATAAATAAATAACTTCTATAGAATAAAAATGAGACCATCATCACAAAAGGCCAAATGGGGGCAGCACATTTCAGAAATTAGATAATGAACAATTGTTCTGACTCCACTGGAGAAAATGTAATCTCTCCAGTCCTGGACTGTGTGAGAGACACCCCAGAGTCTTCAGGTGTCCTGCTGTGTCTGACATCCAAGGCCCAGAGACAGAGGGGACATCAGACTGAGAATTCCAGGACTCAGTGGTTGTTCCTGAAATTCAGAAAGTTATCAAGGGCTTCCAGATATTTTTTCAGCTTCTTTTGGAAATCACTCCAGTTATTCTCAATAGAGATTGGTTCTCCCTGTGAAGAAACCAGGAGGGTGGCATTAGGTTGAAAGGTAGATGACGGGCTCAGAGTCAGGTCATGGGTAAGAGTACCACCTGCAGGGGCATCTTGGGGGTCAGCTTACCCTGGGTGTGGGAGTCGGCAGGAGTGGCAGGAATTCCTGTGGGAAGAGACCAAAGCAGACAGTCAGAGAGAGTCACCTGGAAAAGGAGCAGGCCCTAGTCAGGGCCAAAGCAGGGATCCCCAAAACCCTCAAAGTTTTACCTACCTTAAGATTTTTCCAGATAAGTGATTCGTTGCTGTAGAAATTTTTGGTAGCATTCAAGAATGCATCCAGGTTTGGCCTCAGAAGGGTAGTGTTCTAAGGGGACCGAGAATACACATAAGGGGAGAAGGTTGGCATTCAGCCTTCCCATAGCTGAAGTCATCCCCAGTTTTCCAAGTCTGCTTTCAGGGACGTCCTTGGACAATCCCTCCTAGTCCTCTTCTTGCCCCAGGTGGTTCCCTGGGAAGCCCTTAAGGGCACAGGCCTCGAAGTGAGTATACACCCCAAGCAAGGCCTACTTCCCTCAGCCCCGAGCCCCTGACTCCAGGTAAGCTGCACACAGGGCCTGGGTGGATCTTTCCCCACTTAGGGGGGAAAGCATTGCCCAAAAGAAGATCTACAAAAGGTGGAGGGCTGGCCACAGGGAGTATTTGCAGCTAAGAGGCCAGATAACAGGATTAATGCCTTGACTGAATGAAGGCCTCCTAGAAAATCAGGAAGAAAATTGCAGAGATCTCAACCCCAGCAGGACCTGGGTGCAGCCTGTGAACTATACATGCTTAAAAGAGGGGCATATACATTTCTGATAAACTCAGGAAAGATTCCAACCTCTTGTCAGACCCAAGGATTATCATACAAACAAAGGAAAAATAACCATAGAAGCCAACCGAAACTAGGAAAAATAAGTGTAAATGATAACACCCAGAGCCAGTCTACATGAGAAACAGGATTCAGTGTCTAAAGGAAAAGGAAGGAAGCAGGCAAGTTCATGGGGGAAATTTTAGGCTGCCCCACTGAAAAATCAAGAGCTTAAGGCCTTTGGAATTATTCACTGGGAGCTAGCTACCTTTTCATTTGTAATTTTTAAAAAAAGAAGAAGCAGGGCGCCTGGGTGGCTCAGTGGGTTAAAGCCTCTGCCTTTGGCTCAGGTCATGATATCAGGGTCCTGGGATTGAGTCCTGCATCAGGCTCTCTGCTCAGCAGGGAGCCTGCTTCCACTTCTCTCTCGATCTGCCTGCCTCTCTGCCTACTTGTGATCTCTGCCTGTCAAATAAATAAATAAATAAATAAGAAGAATCAGCAGCAGCAGCATTTTCCTGTTCTAGAGCCAGCAGGGGAAAACGTATTGAACACTTAGCATCTGACACAGGTCTGGTGACTCTATGCACTGGTGCCACATAATTCTCACAGAGACCCCACTGAGCTACACAGTAAACTCTGTGCACAGATGAAGCACCGAGGCTAGGCAAGGTGGGGTGACAGGCCTATGGCCACCCAGGCAGAAAATGGGTTAGGACCCAGGTGTTGCCTGAGTGTGGGCTGAGTACTTACCAGCAGGGTGTTTGTCTCATTTGGGTCCAAGGTTTCCTGTGGGGGCAGAGGGAGAGAGCTGTGAGTTCTCTTGGCCTGAGACACCTGCTAGCCCTTCCCTGCCCTCTGCCAACCTTATCCCACTCACTTCTGCAGGCGAGGGTGAACTGTTTAAGATGTCTGTAATTTCACTGATCATCTTGAAGTTTTGCTGAGGCGGGTATGTCAGCAAGGACCGCCCCTGGGCCTGCGGGGCTTGCAGTCCAAGCAGGAGCAGGAGAAGGTGCAGGACAGGGAGGCTGTTCATGTTCGGGCTGGTAGGGTGTATTCTGTCTTGTCCTGGTCCCTTGTGGCGTTCTGAAGCATCCGACACAGTCTCCCGTCTTTTATGCACAGAGGCCGCGTGCCTACACCCCGATGAGAGGGGCGGATGTCGGAAGAATCTTTATCTGACATGGAACCTCCATAGCAAACCACAGACTTATTCATCACTTTCTAGTACTGGAGATCAGTGAAACTTGGAAAAAAAAAATTACTCAGAGGTTATCTCCTTCTCTTGCCAAGGAGAAGAGATGGGTGGGCCACTGGGCAGAGTGGGAACAGGTGAGAGGATCCCTCTGACAGGTGAGGGGCTGCCTGACTCGGAGCTCCCTCAAGCCTCCTGCCCCGTGGCACCTGCTCCTGCCATCCCCTGGATAGCTCTGACCCTCTACTGCTCACCCTACCTGGCACTTCCTGGTCCTTTGTGGGCGTCCGAGTGAAGGCCACTGGAACAGATGAGAGTTTTTCTGGAAGGTGGTCACAGAGCTAACTGTTCACATGTGAGCTCATTAACTGAGAAGCACATCTCTTGAAAACCTCCCACCCTAGTGCTGAGTTTCTGATGTTAAAGCCCCCAGTAGTTTGCCTTATGGCCCTTGGGCGGCTGCTTCTCCTTAGCACTTTCTGTTCCTTGGGGCAGGGGCACAGATGTAGCTCAGGCACCATACGCCCACTCTGTCTTCATTGGTCTGACAGCCTGACTCTGCCCTGTGTTATGGGATCTTAACCCCTAGTGGAGGCCTGGCTGCACGCCCTGGTGGTCCCTTTGGTAGCATGGAGGAGCTGGGTTCCAGGACCAGAAGATGGGGCCTTTGAGGAAAAGGCAGTTGTCACTGGGAAACAGGAGGAGGAGGCTGCCCTGGGAAGGTTTAGGAGGGGGAACTAGAAGCTGTGAGGGGTGAAGCAAGGGAGAGGAGAGGGCAACTTCCGGCTTCAGTGTGGGTTTCTAGTGATAGAGGCTGGTGAACAGCAGAGAGCTGTGTTGCAGGGGTCCGAGTGTCTGGGAATATGGATTTGGCAGGCACAGGCCCGGTAGAAAGACTTTGCAGGGTGGGGAGGAGGATAGGGACACATCATGGAGGAGGCCAAAGAGAACCAGAGAAGCAGCAGCTAGAGAAGAGGCAGGAAAACCAGGAGAGTAGGGGAGTCAAAGGCAGCCCCTGAAGGGAGAGGGGGACCACTGCCCCCTGAGGCTTGTCAGGCCCTGACACAGACCCAGACAGGAGGTTTTGGCAAAGGGGTGAATGTGGCAAGGCATGGGGAAGAGTTCTTTGAGATAACTGGGACTGGGGCGGCAGAACAGGAGAGGCGGGATGGAAGAGCCAGGGGTCAGGGTGAGATGTGATACAATCAGAATGGGGAGATGAAGGATAGGAGGTTATGCTGAGCCAAGGGAACTGGGGGGTTTCAGGACTCTGAGCAGGGAAGAGATCTGGTAAAGACAAGGACCAGGATGTGGCTTAAGGGGAGGCAGGTAAGGAAGCTGTGGCGCAAGGCAGTGCTCTGAGAATGATGCCTGTAGCCAATACTCGTGGCCCCCTGCTCAGCCACGGGTCAGGAAAGGTCTCGGGGTTTGGGCCCAGAGCATCCTCACAAAAGCACGTGGAGTGTCTTGAAGGCACAGTGAAATGGGACAACACACAATTAACCTACGGCTAGGTACCCACTAGGCATTGTTCATTCAACAAACTTTTATCAGCATTTGCTAAGTCAGTCCTGGGAATAGAACAGACTCTGTCCCTCTCCTTCGGAAGCTTACAGGCTGATGGCCAGCCTTGCTCCTCTCATCTTAGACCTTAGAACTGCTGATTCAGTGAGGGGCTTGTTGGAAGTGCAGAAGCACCTGCCTCACCCCAGACTTTCTGGATCAAAAATTGCATTTTGACAAGACCCTCGGGTGATTCACATGGCATTGTAGAAGTTCTGATTTAAAGTCCTCAACGTGGGATGCGTGGGTGGCTCAGTCAGTTTAGCGGCTCAAGTCATGATCCCAGGGTCCTAGGATGGAGTTACACTCCCTGCCTATCAGGGAGCCTGCTTCTTCCTCTGCCTGCCTCTCTCTTTCTCTCTGACAAATAAACAAAGTACTCAACTCCTAACGTAAGAGCTTAATAAGTGTGAGATACTATTTGCTCTCCCAGCATACTTTGTAGGGGCCTCATCCAACATTTGCTGTTTGTATTACCATGATTTGTTCTTGTCTGCCCTGTTAGATGTTGAGCTTAAAAGCTGAAAAAAGATACAAAGTACTCAGCTTGAGTAGGGCTGAGGTCCTCGCCCTCGGGAGACAGGGCTTCTTGACCACTCAACCATGGGTTGGTGTTACCTTCTATATAAGAGTTTTAAGGATCAGAGCACAAAAACACGATTTCTTTCTTTTTTAATTTATTTGAGAGAAAGAGAGAGAGAGGGAATGAGAGAAAGCGAGCATGAGAGAGGGAAGGTCAGAGGAAGAAGCAGACCCCCTGCTGAGCAAGGAGTCTGATGCGGGAATCCATCCTGGGACTCCAGGATCATGACCTGAGCTGAAGGCAGTCGCTCAACCAACCGAGCCATCCAGATTTCTTACAGAGAAAAAAAAAACCTCTATTTTTTTTTAATTCAAATGACTTTTTGAGGGAATTTGAAAGTTCAGTCCATTCTGAAGCTAGGGAGGCTGAACATTCCTGCAAATGCTCTTTTTAAACCCTGACTTTGTATTGCATTATAGCAAAGAAGACCCGAGTACTGCTACTGGAAATCTTTGACATTTATAGTATTTGTCTCGTTTTAAAAATACTTTAAAAACCTATCAAAGGAGAAGGAGGTTTTAGACCTCATGCTAGGGGCATTAGAAACATTATGGGGTGTTCAGCCAGGGAGGTCTGTGGCCCTGGAAAGTGTGGGTTCCAAGAAACCCAGCCCTGCTACTGTGGGGAGAACGGTCAGGATAGCAGGGTGGCCAGTAAGGGGTTGGGGGAGTCCTCTGGACCATCGATGATGGGGAGGCTGGGCTACGTGTATTCTGGTTCAGAGGCAGAGAACTGCATGGAGGCAAAGACTCGAACAGCTAACGTCCACTGAGCAGCACTTAGCAAATGCTGGGCACTCAGTTCTTTTCCCTGGTTGACTCATTTAATCCTCACAGTGAACCTGTGGGGCAGGTATTATTATTATTACCACCATTTCACAGCTAAAGAAACTGAGGCTCAAGGAAGCTGAGTTCCCCAAAGCTAGGAAGTGACATCACCGGGATTGAATGCAAGCAGGTGTGTCTGATCCCAGAGGCTGAGCACTAGAAAGTAATAGATTAAGAGGTGAAGCAGGCTGATGGGAAGGGGGCAGTATGGTGAGGATAAAATGGAGCCATTGGAATTTTTGACTAGAGGCCACTGGTGCCTCTGGGGTAGCCATTTTAGTGTGCAGTGAGGGTAGAAGCTGGTGGTAGTGGGCTGAGGAATGAGTGAAGGTGGGACAGAGGGTGGTAGATTATTTGAAGTTTTATTCTGAAGGGAAGGGGAGAGATAGGGGCAGCTAGAGAAGTCAGGGAGACAGAAGGATCTTTCCAGACAGGGAAGCTTGGAAATCCCTCTGCTGGAGGTGAGATGAGAATGGGCTGGACAGTTGGACGCAGGCCAGTGCAGTGGGTGCCCAAAGGGCGTGCACACAGGGGGGGCTCCCTGCATTGGGCATCACATGCTCACCCAAGCAGAAGGCTCAGGGAAAGGCCACCGAGGTGGGCCCAGTCCATCCAGGAGGGAGGGTGTAATGGATTGTGTCCGCTGCTTTGGTGGCAGGAGAGGAAAATGGTTTCTGTGTTCCCTGTGAAATAAGAGGCAGTCAGCTCCTGAAGTTTAGGGAGGTGGGGTCAGAGGCACAGAGGGTGTCCTGGTTGGGAGTCTGTTAGCTGACTGCCTCAGGATGGCCTTAAGGGGCTAGTAGCCTTGGCTTAAAAGACAAGAAGTTTCAGAGAATCCAAAGCCTTTCTGTTCCAAGGTGGAGGGCCCCCAAGGCCGGGGCACGAGGCCATGGTGGGCAGAGAAAGGAGCAGGATGGCCAGAGCAAGGCAGGCAGGAGGTAGTGGGCCCAGTCCCCCTAGAGAGGCCCCTGGAGTGCAAGCCAATGCTGACTCCTGGTCAAGGAACAGAGTTACATTCCACAAAGCAAACGTTCTTCAGAGGGGCTGCTCAGCTGTTGTTGTAGGGGACGACCAGGTATCCCCCCCAGGGCTTCTGCAACCTCTCAGGGCAACCAGGAGCCTGATCCTCCTTTGAGAGTCTCCTTTGAGGTTTGCCTTGGCTCTAAGGCAGCTGCTTCAGGTCCATTCGCAGAAACCCCTTCCTTCTCCCGCAGGCAAAAGTCATGCCCAACCCCTTGAGAGAAGCCTGGCCTCCTATAAAAAATTGGTTCTCCCCCTGGTGTTTCCGTCAGCCCAGCCTAGGGAAAGCTTCCTCTGCAGATGGGGCTTATTGCAATCAGGAAGGGAAATGAGCTGAGGGTGCCCAGCCCTGGGTGGCATAAGGGAGGCCCTGCTAGGGCTGGGGTGGGAGAGCCAGCCCAGGACTGCTGACTGGAGTGTGCAGAGAAGGGACCCTACGGCTTTCAGGGTGGATCTCTGAAGGGTGGGTCCCTGTAGGCCTGTGGTCTGGATTCACTCAGAATGGGGCACAGTGTTCAAAGTTGTGGCCCTTGGGGCCCATCCATATCTCCTCCTTCCTGTCACTCACCCACTCAACCCCACAGGCCTGGTGGAATTTTCTGGGGTGCCCACCACCAACAGGGACCCAGACTTCAATCATCATGGCAGACTCCCCTGATACCCTCTCTTTGGCATCCTTTGTCAGATTCCGTCTGCCTGTGACCTCAGTCATGCTTCTGCTGGTGGCCCTGACCACACTACTTGATCTTGCCGTTACACAAGGCAGCTCCAGGCTTCTGGCTTGCCAAGCAGTGCCATCAGGTTTCACATGCTCACCTGAGCAGAAAGAGCTTTGGGAAAAGGGAGGTCTGGCCTCCTGTCCCACCCAGCTCTGCACTCCTCACCCAGGGCCCACATAGTCTCACCCTGTGCACCCTCAGCTTTCTACCCGGTGCTGTGGATGTGGCCTTCTGGAGGCCCATTGGTGCCAAGTGGACCTCCTCCCCAAGTCCAGTCTCAGAGAAGACAAATGGAAAACCGCAGTTGAAAATAATAAGCCTGATGAGGAAGAAGGCTTAAAATGGGGCAGCCTCACTCTGTCTGGACAATCGGGGGAGACTGAAGAAGGGAAGGCTAAGCTCTCTGAAGGCTGCTATGGAACCATATGTGTTAGAGAGGAAGCACTCCCAGGCAGTTGGGTGTGAGGACGCAGGCATTCTGTCTGTCAATTTCAAGTCTCCTAGCCTCAGCTCTGACATCCGGTAATGGGGTAGCCATGTCATTCTTGTTACTTACAAACATATGTGCATTCAGTGCCTGCTACTCTCTTGTTGCCCACGTGGAACACAGAGCTTTGGGACATGCATTCCTATTAAGTCCATAAAGCCAGAAGTCAGGTGAGGGACAGACATACAGGGCCCTCAGCCCCACACTCCCCATTCTCGCTGACACTGCCCCAAAACTGTAGGATGACTTAGATGCTGGTAACACAGTGTTCCAGATGCTCATGAATTGCTCTTTTAAGTGGTTAAGCCTTCCCGCAGGTGGTTAGCCATGGAGATGATGTTGCCAGGCAGAATCTTGGCTGCCTCGCAGGCAGAGAAGGGGAGGCCACGAAAGGTGGCTGGCAGAGAGCCAGAGCTGTCCAGGTGACAGCAGGACCAGATCCTGGCTGGGCACAAGCAGGCCCAGGTGAGCCTCTTCAGAGCCAGGTTGCCCACTCCGTCTGGTGAGCAGAGGCTCTTATCTTCCTTGGTGAGGTGAGGTGAAACCCTTTGAGAATGTTTTTTCAAGTTTTACTGATCATGAGTTCCAGAAAATGATGAATAAGTTGATATGTTTGTCATGGAGGTTCCCTATCAGACAAGGGTATCAGCCCATCCGGGGCTTCTCTGAACATCCCCCACCACCCCATTTCCTGCCTCACCCCCCCATTCCCCACAGTGGGTCTATAAAAGAGAAAGCCAGCTGGGCCACTCCAGATTCCTACAGCCAGGGAGGACCACATTAGCTCCCAGAAACTCAAGATGTGGAGAACCCTCTGCATTCAGCTTCTCCTCATCTTCCTTCCCTTTGGCCTCCCCAGATCTGTGTCCATAAGGGTCCCTGGCACCCAGGCTCCGGGCTGCTGCAAGTACTGGAGCACCATCTCTGAAATCTGCTCTAAGCTGAACTCTAGCTCTGTGAGTAGCTGGTGACTCTCTGGGCGTGGGCAGGGACGGCCTGGCAGTCTCAGGCCAGGGACTCTCATGGTTCTCTCTCTTTTCCCCTGCAGACATCTGAAGACATTAATCTGCGGCTGGCGCTGCAGGTGAGGGCTCAGGCCCAAGGGCCCACCCTCTCCCCTCCAGGGACTGCCATTGTGTGGCTGGTCCCTGCCCTGGGCTGGGGTGTGTTTGGGTGAGGCACCCCTGGCTGGTCACACCTGGGCCTTAATCCTCTATTTGGCATTTTAAGTGCAGATACTTCCATTGGCCTCTTTGGCTTGTGTGGGGGTTGCATAGTAGATGCTTATTCCCAAGAGTGGGAATTCTAAAATTGTATCTTGCCAAAGCTGGCCTCCATTCCTTTGGGTTCTTCTGGTGGCTGGTTCATGAAGTTCCCCAGTCACCCAGGCTCCTTTTGTACCTCATCTGGAGCCAGGTGGTAAGACGGGCCCTGCCTTGACTGGGGTTTGCCAGAATGTGTGGTGACCACCTCGGGTGCTGTGCCTCTGGGGTGGCTGGGTTCTTCCTGGTCTGGGACAGGACAGGGCACCAATGTGGAAAGCTAGGGGAGGTGGCAGAGGGTGCTGGTGAAGGCATCACAGAAAAGAGGCAGGAAGGATGACACCCAAGACCATGAGAAGGACAGCCCCTCCTGAGCCCTCCCTTATCACTCCTTGTCCTACAGAGTGATTACCTTCTGACATCTAACCTGGCTGCTTTCCGGCTCATCTCACAGGACATCATCAGTGGCTCTAATGAGTCCTTATTCATCAGTAAAAATCTGGAGGACCTAGAGGTGTGTGAGGTTGGGAAGATCTCTCTGGCACTGGGTCTCCAGGACCCCAAAGGAGCCCACTCTGGGTCAGTGTGCATGGCCTGGTTTTGCTTTTTCTCAAAGAGCAGCAGCATTTTCACCCTTAACCCTCCCCTGCCAATCTGTCCATGGCTGGGGACAGAGTTGCCACCTAGTCCCTTCTTGGGTACAATCACTGGCAGGGGCACACAGAAGCCCCCCAGCTCCTAGTGAGACCCCAGTTGCCTTCTGGGTTTTCCCAAAAGGCTAACTGGCTCTTCCTGTCTCTGGTCTACAGAAATTCCTGCAAACCTTGCCCATGCCTATGCCCACATCCCAGGTAAGCTGCTTAGACCAAGTGTAGAACCTGCCACACCCCTTCTACCTCCTCCTCAGCTGACCCAAATTTCTCATTTCTTCTAAGGGAGAAGTGTACATCCAAGCAGAAGATTTTGATGAATTCTCAGGGAAGCTGAAAGTCTTTCTGGAAGCCCTGGATGAATTCCTGATGCGCTTACTGGAGTGCCCAGAAACTTTCAAAGCCTTGTGCAGAAAATCTTAGTCTGGGCCTCTGCATGCTCAGGGCTCGGAATTGGGCTCAGGTCCTGTGTCTCCAACCTTCCTTCTTGGTATGCCAGTGAATGCTCCACTCCGTCATAGATCTCACTGACAATGCTATTTATGTAACAATTTATTTATTGTCCACCCTATTATGGAGTTATTTATTTTAATAATGGAACCCTCTCAGGAACCTCTGAGCAAAGCTCAGAGGGAATGTGAAGCCATTTTCATTTGTACCTCAGATTTCAAAAGGGTTCCTCCTCCTCTGTGAAAAATAAATATTTTATGAAAGCTACTTTGTGCCCAGTGTTGTATTTCTAGTGGGTTTCTCTGTCTGATTTGGGTCTGGGTTGCAATTTCCACACCCATAGTTAATTTCTTTAATTCTGTGGTTTTGATTCCTTTCAGGATTCTGTCCCCCCACCCCGACCCCATATTCCCTGTCCTACCCCCTTCCTGGGCTCACCTGGGTCTTTTTCTTCTCTCTGGCTCAGGCACCACCATCAGCCCCAGCCCCTACTCATCCTCTCCCCACTACCCCCATCTACTTCTTAGCACCTCTCTGCTCTATCCACTTCTCATCACTCCCATGTTCATCCCCCATCCAGACCCAGACCTGCCCACTGGAATTCCCACCACAGCTCCAGGCCAGACATCTCCCATCCTGTGTCTCTCAGCAGCCAGAGTGACTAGACACCTCTCTGTCCACAACCCCCTGCTGCTGTCACTCCAGTGACCTACAGTTAGCGCACTTAGACCAGCCCCAGGAGAAACACAGCCTAGTTTTTTCCCTAAGGAAATCCCCATTGAGGAACCTTAGGGCTTCCAGTACAGGAAATGAGTCCCCTCACCCCTCTTCAAGCTTTTGGTCCTCTCTAACCCCTCCTGTCCTCCTCTACCTCCTGGTATCCACACTCAGATGAGAAGACTCTAGTCCACACCACATGATATGAAATAGGCTCCCATTTTCTGTATTCTAAAACTCTCCTTTCAGACTCAATAAAACACAGCTCTAATGGCCAGACACTAAACAAATAAAAGGTTGTCTTCTTCCCCGTTAGCTGTCAACTAGGGGACATTTGCTTGTTCTAAACTACCCTCTCAAGAGAAAATGTCAGTTTAAGAGAATGCTGCATAGGATTTTACCTGTTGTCCTCTAAAAGACAACCAACATCCAAGCTTATGCTTCTTTGAGCCAAGAAGACAACCAGTGGGACAGAGTGTCTTGGAGCCTTCTGGCCTCCTACAGTGTGGTAGAGCAAGAATATATGGTTTTCTAAAGCCTAAGTGGAAACCCAGAAGTAAGAAAGGGCTTAAAGCCCCAGTGAAGAAGGCTACCTGTCAGGCAGGGGAACCCAGGAAGAGATGGTAGGATGACCACAGGGGCTGGAGCAGGGGGCTCAGACAAGGTAGAATTAGGGGTTTGCCCTTGGTGTCAAGCTATGGAGTAAACAGTTTCCTGCCTGTTCCTTCACAGAATCCCGAAAGATGCACACACATATCCATGGGACCCACCTGCCACAGAGAACCTCGCAGCTAGGCAAGTCCAGCTTGAAAAGCAGCAACAGGTAAGAGGATGACAGCAGTGCCCGTCCTGTAGGAGAGAGGGTCACTTTCCATCCTCCTCACTCCAATAGCCCAAAGAAGAAAGGGTCCTGGAAAGGGAGGGGAGAAGAGAAAGATGCAGCCATTCCTGCCCCCACCCCCACCATGGCAGCTCTCTGGGGCAGAACTGGCCAGCCTGGGGGAGGGGAAGAAATGGGTGTCAACCTGGCTCCAAGCTGTACCCACTTTTTTTTTATACTGCAAAGGACTCAGGAGTTGGGAATCTGTTCCAGAAGTTGACCAGAGTCAGGAATGGCTGGTAGGAAGGGACACAGATGAAGGCAATGATTGAAAATATACAAGTGCGTGCCAGCCTTCACGGTCCAGTCATTCCGCTGCCACTCACAGTCACAGAGTGCACTCCCCGCTGCTGCTCATGGCCCCTGGGAAGCCCCCCTCCACAATCTTCACCCAGCTGATTGCTTCCACGTATCCTCCTCCTAGTTCAGACGCTCTGCCTAGCTGCTTCTGTAGATCTGTCAGGTACAGAAGCTGGAAGAAGTTCCCTGAGGTAAGAGGACAGCTTGCTTGCACCCATTTTCTCCTCTCTGCCTCCCTCTGACTCACACACAGCCTCCTCTGGCCACTTCTTTTGGGAGTTTAAGCTCTTTAACTACAGGACTATTATCCTGTCTGTGCTGTACCCAGATGGTGAGTCATTTACCTCCCTGTCTCTTCCTCCCCTCTGCAGACAGGACCCTGTCTTTTGTTTCTTAGGTATCTTTTCTTTAATTTGTAGAAGTTTAAACATTTGAAACATTTGCCTGACTATTGAACACGAACGTTTTCCAAACATCTTGTGTATTGGGTCCCATAGGTTTACAACAGACTCTTTCAACTCTGAGAACTTTTTCAGATTTAACTACTGAGACTCCGTCTTATCATTCCAGTGAACGTGTCTGGTGCTCCACAAGGCTGGGATGAGTTGAGGAGGCCCATGGCCTGGAATGCCACACTGCATTTCTGCCAAGATGTCTATGCCAAAAGGGCCATGACGTCATAGACAGCAGGTGAGAAGTGGAGTTGGAGCTGTGGGTCTCTCTGGTCTTGGTAAGTTAATTGTCCTGGCCTCTCTCATGATCATTGTTTTAACTGTAATTGCCCTAGTTCCTGACTTCGAAACATCTAGTCTGTATTTGCATGCCAGTGTCCATGCAGCTATCTTAGTCCATGTGGGCTGCTATAACAAAATACTCTAGGCTGAGTGGCTAAGAAAGCACAGGAATTTATCTCTCACGGTTCTGGAGGCTGGGCAGCCCATCTCCAAGATGCTAACAGATTTGATGTCAGGTGAGGGGCTCTTTTCTGGTTCATGGATGTCTATCTTTTCACTCTAACCTCACTTGGAAGTAGAGGCAAGAGAGCTCTCTGGGGCCTCTTTTACAAGGGCACTGATCTGATCCCATTCATGAGGTCTGTGCCCTCATAACCATCACTTCCCAAAAACCCCACCTCCGCATACCAATACATTGGGGATCAGATTTCAACACACAAATGTTGGAGAAACAAAAACATTCAGTCTTCAGCAGCAGCATTATTTACAATGGCCAAAGCAGCCTAAGTGTCCATCAGTAGCTGAATGGATAAACATTCAGCCTATACATACAATTGAATATTATTCAGCCTTAAAAAAGAAGGGCATTCTGATACATGCTTCTGTATGGATGAACTTTGAAGATACTCTGCTAAGTGAAAAAAGCCAGAGATAAATATTGAACCCCACTCACATATTTCTAGTAATCGAATTTTTTTAAAGGTTTTATTTATTTAGAGAGAAAGCACACATGCAAGCATGGGGAGGGGGAGAGGGAGAGGGAGAAACAGACTCCCCACTGAGCTCAGAGCCAGACGTGGAGCTCCATCTCACAGCCCTGAGATCATGACCTGAGCAGAAATTGGGAGTCAGATGCTTAACCCACTGAGCCATCCTGGTGCCCCAATAGTAATCCAATTTATAGAGACAGAAGATAAAAGGATAGTTGCCAGTAGCTGCATGTAGGGGAGAATGGGGCATCATTGTTTCATAGGTCCAGAGCTTCAATTTGGGATGATGAAAAAAAATCAGGAGATGGGTGGTGGTGATGGTTGCACAGCAGAATGAATGTACTTAATGTCACTCTACTGTGCCCTTATAAATGGTTAAGATGATAAATTTTATGCTATGTCTATTTTACTACAATAAAAAAAATCTAGTCTGGATGTTTTCTCAGTAGAGCCTGAGAGTCTTCCTGAGTCTCCCCATGGCCCAGTTTGGTCAGTGTAGCAACAAGGCTCTCCCAGCACCAATCCCAGGGCTCTCTCCACCCTGACCTTCCTCAGCCCAGGGCCCTTGGCTTCTTGCCAGCCTGGTAAATGACTCTTCATACTGAGACTCAGTTCTTGGTCCCTCCACCGTATAGCTCTCTGAGCCTCCCCACCCACTCCCAGGGCACTGCTTGCCTTTTTGTATGGCCAGGCTAAACAGACCATCCTCTCTCTGTTCATGAGAGCATGTGGATCCATACAAATGGTGAGGCTATATCAGCTTCCTCCCCGTGCCCCAGGAGGCCTGTGTGGGGACTAGTGGATGGGTCTGGGAGTCCTGGAGGAATAAATATTCTGGGCTTAGCCACCAGGCAGTCAGGGTAGTAAGCTGGTAGAAGCACCCCATGAAGACAGCTCTAGAGGCTGGCAACCTGTTGCTCACAACAGGATTTGGCGTAGCCCCAGGTTCCTCTTGCAAATTTCTATTCTTTCCAGTTGATATTTGGGAATGTTGGCTAAGTAAATTTAGATCTCCTGTAGACTACCCTCACAGTAGGAAGAAGAGAGGCTGGTGGAAA